ACTCTGGAGGCAACAATGCACAAGGTGGCCTAATGCACAATTTGAGATTTAACCTGACCATACATATTACAATATAAGTGTACAGTGCCTGCATGCTCTACTTAAGATCTATAAACAAATTTCAATGAGAGGATCTAAGCCACCCAATGGTATATTGAAAGAAAATTGTACAATCACACTGTAAAGTTTAGTCTTTTTTGCTATCACTAGCTCCTCGTGAGACTGTGGAGCTGTTGCTGTTTAAAACAACTCTTCCCAGTCTTTGTGATTGAATTTTGTTATGAAGGCAGAGCTGCAATAAACCTTGGTACTGTGGTAGTGGCCAGAGATATTCAATAAAAGTAAAATAGAATACAAAAATTACCTGTATGACATGTATTTGTGTGTCATTCTCTGTATGTGATAAAATGCACAATTCCTGTTTGTTAATGTTATTTAAATTGTTATTGCTATTAATTTGGGATCAATCTTTGTATGATCATTTTCACATTGTCCCCATAATCATTACAATCACAAAGGGAGATTTATCAAGCAAGTTAGTGACAAAATTAGAAGCACATATGTTACAGATCAGGTTGATGCGCTTTTGGCAATGCCTCTGGTCCAGTTTTTTGCATCTTTGCACCCCAATCCTGGTTGACCAACTGAGACAGATTACCACAGGTCTGCAACAGATTTATTACTCTAGAGAAAGATTTTCGATCAGAACATATGCAAGACAAGGTAAGGGGGCGGTTTTACAATGCCACAGTGCTACTTCAGGGCGGCAGAGGGGGTAATGTATAAACTAAACTGCAATGTTATAGTGAATCTGTTTCCTAATGTGTCTCACTGCTCCTGTTTAGTATTGCCATGTTGGTCAGCAGAATTGATAAATCTCCCCCACCAGTGATACCACTGACTATCCCTAGTGTTTTCTGTAGAAATAAGATATCCCTAGACATAAAACACATAATGATAACAAATCTTTGTGTTAGAAGTGTGTACATCTACACACATGGTAACCCACAGCAGTTTTTTGTACAGTGCATAGCACCATGGACAATCTTTACACAATGATGATGGGCCAAAAAATGTATATAGGCTTTTAATATTGTACTAATCACCTATAGATTGGCTGTCTACCAAACCTGCAGCTGTAAGATATTGTGTGACTGTCTATGGACATCTTGTTTCACTGAATGCATGATACTGCTCATGAGCATTATTATGGTACAAAGACCCTATATCTGACATGGTAGATATTAAATACCTCAAAATGTAAAAGCAATCATCACTGAGCCTGTTGCACACCCAAACAAGCTTCAGATTTCTGGGTGGTTTCTTTCCATTGCCCTAAAACATTTCACTCATACCCCCACTCAATCACTTTTCTTTTGGAAGGTATGAAGAATCAAGGTGTTTTCCAAGGAGTGTAAGGTAAATTATAAGTAGCCCTTATAGCTTTACTAATACTAAGTTGCTTAAGAATGCCAATTATATTTACTTTTTGCTCTCATTTGTTGGTGTACGCCTGCATGACTTTTAAATAAAAGCTACTTATACTATAAGCTGCTGATCTAGGTTCAGCTTTCTAAAGCATAACTGATATGGATTTAAGACAATGAAACACAGCTCCTGGTGCCTGCAACTTCTGCCTTTTGGGTAATATAAAGATGTTTCCTGCGCAGTAAGCATGTTTTCCCATTTCCCTTTTCTTTTTTTTTGCCTGGCGGCCCCTTATGCTTGTTCCAGCCTGAGGCTGATGAGCTCCAATCAGCCACTCTAAAGAATGAGTGGGTATAAAGTCAGCATCATAATATTTTGTTAAGGAAAAAAATTATATGGCTTTCAATTACTCCAACACATAGTAGGTCGTGGTTTGCCAGCTGTGCTTGTATGGCTTGCTCCCCCAGCACCAATGTAGTAATAAGTTAGTAGGGCCCACACAGTATTATATCCTTAGAATATGGGTTATCAGAAGCCTCTTGGCACAAAGAATTGTGTGGGGACTCCCAATACATGTAGGTTTCCAGTGAAGGCTGGGTTATTGCATCCTGATGTAGCCATGTATTGATAGTTCAGGTCTTGTTTAAGTACACCTCTGCCCAGGACAATAAAAATCTCATATTAGGAGTTACAAAACTTAGATATTATAATAAGTTAGTTTATTGATATTTATAAATATAATTTATAAGCTTGAAAATGTGTATATACTTACATTGGTCCAGCTTGGTACTATTTAAGTATATATAAATTATCCTTTGCAGGGCCATGGGGATTGTGCAACACACTGTAGTAGCCACAACTACTACAGTATATTACAACTTCTTCTGGGTATAGGAACAGTCAATGG